TATCATCATCTTAAAAGCATAACTCTTCAAACTGTTTTGGTGCTGGTTTGGTTTAAGTGATCGTTGGGAAGAGTGATTGTGTAGTATCTAAGATTAAATTTTTGGTAACCAAGAAATTACAATATGGATCATATATTCAAATCAAGAGTACTGGTTAAACTTTTGGAAACCAGACTCTATATATAATATTATAAAAATTATATAAATCTAATTTATTAAAATGGATCTATATTGTTTTACTAATAATTACTTCAAAGACATTATATTTCACTAATACTTATTTCTTTGATCTTACAAATAATCAATTTTACAGAATAGTTTATTTCATAGACAGTATATTTCCAGTATTATGAATAGTAGTAGAATATGGTTTAGCAAATTAGTAGAGTATAATACTAAAATTGCATTTGAGTATATCAAACTCCTTTCCCCTATTTGGTATTATGAATAGTAGTAGAGTATGGTTTAGTGAAGTAGTAGAGTATAATACCAAAATTGCATTTGAGTATATAAAACTAGCATACTATTGTGAGTGGTAGGGTGGTGATACCAAAAGCATGTTAAGTCAGGTGGTCAGTATGGCACAGTACATAAAACGGCTATAATGATCACCTGCCTAAAGCAGGTTTACTGGCAGTATACGCTGTATCCGCTGTATCCTTTGCATCTGGTTGATAATAAATATCAGTGTAATAAGGAGGATCAGTGGGATCCAGTGTATAAGTATAATAATCAGCATAGAAAACATAATTAGTATTAGTGACTTAAACATTATAATTAGTATATGAGTAATAATAAGTATCAGTGCAATATCGTGAATCAACTGTATAATGTGCCTTATGTAAAAAGTATATAATAAAGGCCTTGAGTCTGATGAAGAAAAAAAGTATGTTCATGATTCAAATAAAGTTCTGTTCCTAATAATAAATATTCTATTGTTACTATAATAATACCTACAATCATAACTATCTACTCGCCAAATATAACACACCTCTTTGACTAAGCCAATTTATAAGTTACACAACATATCCCATTGACAAGTAACTGACTCACTGTTTCACTTGTATTACTATACTTGTTTGTATGTTATATATGTTGTGAGATCTGAAAATGTAATCAGTAGATCCCAAATGTCAGTATATCAGATATATTAAATATATCTGATATATCTGATATAAATCCTATATAGCATAAGTGTGATATATTAAAACAGATATGATATATATGATAAATTAGTTATATTTGATATATTATACATATTCATGTAAATAGACAAGAAATTTTATTATAAATAAAGGGCAATTTGTATAGGCAAAAGGCCAGTGATTACAATTATAACAATAAACTAAATACCCGATTCAAAATAAAAGTGAAAGTGTTATTCTGTAAAAACTAGTAACTACTGTTAACTCTATTACTAACACTATTCATTTTCTAAGAATAACTGAAAACCTGCAATTAATTACTCACTATAATTATGTGTCTAGTAAACCATAATGAAAAAGAAAAGTTTCACTCTAATTCAATATATTGTAATCCTAGATCAAATATAAAAGAAAAGAAAACAAGAATTAGAATAAGAATAGGTTAAAGAAAAGACTTAAAAAATAAAACTAGTATTTATTTATTAACAATAATTTACTTACCAAATCTAATATGCCTGTTTTGACTTAGCAGTTATAAGTTATACAAGAGTTAAATTGAATTAGTAACAGACTTGCTGAATTTTAAGATAACAATGTACAATAGTATAGTTATACATAATTTATGATCTCATGAAAATTCTAAAGTTCTTTATTATAAAAATATACTGTATTATTATCAATACAGTTTAATAATAGAAATGTTATACTAAAAATTAAGATTTTTATAAAAACGCATATGCTATTCACAAAATCAAGTTTTTTAATAAGATTATATATATTTCTTTACAAATATTAAACTTTTTGAACAATTAAAATCCAACATTCTAATTAGTTTGTTCAGAATATTTTAAAGTCATAGCATAGAATATTATACTTTTGAAATTTAATTTGCAGTTTTTTTTTGTTTTTTTTTGTTTTATTTTTTAAAAAAATGCTTGCAGGTACTTAATTTGTAGATTTTAATTTTTGTTCTTTTTCAAAATTTGCTAATTCAATTAAGTGAATTTTTGCTTCATGTTCTCTTAAATCCAACTCATATTCCTTTAATACTAAATGTCATTCTTGATATTCAAGATTATTAACTTTTGAAGTTTCTTTAAAGTCATTTTCACTTAAATCTTCAGAATCAATAGTGATTACTTCAGATTTTTTTTCAATTTTTTTTCAATTTTTTTTTTAGATTTTGTAAACTTTCTTCATTTGTTTTTAATAAGTTTATGTTGAACTTTTGCTAGTAATTTAATAAATATAAATAAATATATTTTATATATTAAATAAGTATATTGATATATAAATAAATTATACTATACTTTTACATTTATTTGACAAAACATTACGACTAATTAAGCCTTTATTTCGTCTATAGCTAGATATATTATATTGTTGATGAATATTAATTCCAATAAAATTTTCTTTATCTAATTTACATCCTTTACAAAAATAGTATTAGTATATACAATTGATTATAATTAATATATACTAATAATGATTCAAAAATTAAATTTACTGTAAAATAGCAGACATCAACTTCAAATTTTTTCCATGCTGATTACTTAATGCATAAGCAGATTCTGTTATATTTGTATTATTAGGTGATATCATCCAAGTTTCTTCATTAATTTTCGACATGCATTTGTTAAGTGATACAATAACCTATTTTTGCTAATAAAATAAAATCTAATCTATATAATATATACATATATATATATATAATGCATACATATAACAATAATGATTAGACATATATGTATTTAGTTAGTAATATAAAATTATTTATTAAAAAAAAATACTGACCTGTTATTTTTTCAAATTTTAGAATTTCATTAAACAATTAATCAATCTTATTTTCTGATTTAGCTGTAAGCAATACAAGCATATTGTCTGTTAAAGTATCATCGTATTTTTTTTCTAAAATTTTTCTTTGTGAATTAAAAAATAAATTATAATAAATTAATAAATAAAGTAATTAAAAAAAACTAATAAAATAAATTAATAAATAAAATAAATAAAAAAATTAATAAAATTATATACTCACCTTTTATAATGTACTTGACAGGATTTAAAAATATAAATTAAATGATTCTCTCAATCTTTGGTTTTATCAATTTCATTTAAGGCTAATCTGAGACCTTGTGCTTGTACATAATCTAAATCGGCTACAATACATCCCTAACCAGTTTCATGAATATGTTTAAATTGAGGAAATTGACCAATTAATTGTAATATAAGGTCAAACAATGTATAAAAAATTCTTTGATATGCAATTGTCATAGTTTGATTAATAAAAACCCTAACATAAGTAAGAACTTAATAAAATTTATAAGTATATATAAGTAATATCATCACTTCTGATACATCACATTTTATTAAATAAATTAAAAAGCTTATTAATAATATTAAATCTA